TTTTCTGAAAAATTTCTTGACTATATTTGAATATTTTCTCTTCTAGATGATTTTAAAAAATCTTTCCAGAAATTGTGAAAATTCTCATTAGGATTTGGATTATGATCATACTGAATTTCTTATTTACTTAGGTTTTTTAAAATGTCTTTAGTAAAATTTTACAGTTTCCTTAATACAGGTCTTACAAATTTGGGGCCATTTTTAGCCCTGGTTACTATATAGTTTTCTCTGCTGACATGTAGAAATACTCTTGACCTTTATATGTTGACTTTTCATATATGCACTTTATAGGACTCCTTAAATAGTTCTAATAATTTTTTAGTTTATTCTTTTGAATAGTCAAGGCATAGGGTAATAATCTACTCAGTGTCATCAATCTGTTTCCAACCAACACTTACACCTTTTATTGTTCTGTTTTATTTTACTGGATTGGCTAAGACCTCATATGCAATGTTGGACAATAATAGTGAGATCCAGTATCCTTGTCTTGTTACTGATATTTAGGAAACAGTAAATATTTAAAATCTTAAACTCAGTAATAAATATATAAAAAAGAATGCCATTCATGACTTCTAAAAATCTTTTCTTACAATTATGAAATTGTCTGTGTTTTTGAGGAGTTCCATCTATGGATTCATCTGTAATATTTTCCAAAAGATCACAAACATGTTAAACACCATGACTCCATCACCTTTTTACTTCAAAGGAATATGTGACTGAAATTAAGGAATAAGACATGAAAGCTTGACAGTTAATTTAATATAAAATGTTTTGTTATTTGCTAACAAATTCTCCTTGTTGCTACAGGATATTATATTAACATAAAAGTATGTGCAGTGTTCTCATCTACATGTGCTGTCTGGTGTCTTAACAGTAGTGAAGTGGGGGTTGGAGAAGAAATCAGAAGTTAGATTGATGAGACTATTACATGGAGAAGTAATTTACACGTATGAGATAAAAAGGTGTTTTGCAGATACGTTACAGGCTTACTTTAAGCCATTTAACTTATGTTCCAAAGTAACTGTAATTTAATGTTGGTAGTATAGCAAATTATGATGAATAGCTTTGACTGTATGTTTAAAGTCATATGTTCACAAGCTTAAATCTGGATATCAGAATTTAAGCAATTCTTGAAATGTATTAATGTCTCCTTAATATACTGATTACAAAACAAAAAGAAAGAGAGAGAGAGAGATAAAAGAAAAGAAAAGAAAAGAAAAGAAGAAAAAGAAAGAAAGAAAAGGAAGGAAGGAAGGAAGGAAGGAAGGGAGGAAGAAAATAATTCTTTTCCAGGGTAAAAGACAAACCCAAAACGTATTACTATACAGAGTTGCATGAGAACAATTTTTCATTAGGGTAGACCCTACCTCACCTGCTATGTTTTATAGTAATGAAAAACATAATATACATAAGAAATGTACAGGATATTAATATAGCATTCCTGATGGAAATGTTAAGGATTAGCTAATCCTGCTGATTCATTTTATATTTTTAACATCCAAATTTTTGTACTTCTGGATTTTTAAAATTATTAACATATTTTCACTGATAAATGTTTTCAGCAATAAATTTTAGCATACATTCATGTTTTACTTTTCCAAGTTAGCAACCTGAGAGAAAATGAAGACTGTCATAGAAAAACAACTGCCTTAGGTTCAACAAATATACTTAAAAGAAATAAATTAAATATGAAATAAATGGACTGGGTTAAGTTAATTGTGAATGGCTTTTCTTTATATCGGCTTCTTGTTCTGTGATAAGAAATTAATGATATTATCTGCAATTATTTTTACATGATAATGAGCATATTTATTTACTGATATCTACTCATTTAGCTATAATTACATTAAAATTTTTTGTCAATATTAACCTTAACGAGTATTTCTCTAATTAATTTAACATTATTTTTTTACCATTGCCAACTTTTGGCTCTTATGTATTGAATCAATTGTATACAAAAGGGAAAAAAGCATATTAACATTAAAATTACCTGGACCAGAAGTGTTATTGGGCCACTTTTATCCACTTCTAGTATCTCACCGTTCTTTGTGCCAACTAAAATATGACCATGTCCTAATGATATGGCACGTATAGATGGGTTATCTTCCAAGAGAAGACCTAAAATGTTAAATGGAGATGTTCTTCTAGGTATGAAGTTACTACAATACAAGGATGTATATACTGCCGGTGATGCTATTTTGACAATGCAAATCATGTTGTAAGGTTGCTTCCTCCCATATTTTAAGTATTCTAATAATTGTACCACATTTTTCACAATCATTCAATTTACTAATCTCAAAAGTAAGTAACATTTATATACTACAGTTCATGATTCTATATTATCCCAGATCCCCTACAACTGGTCTAACAACTGTTTCTTTTCTTTTCATATTTGCCCCTCATCCACCTCATGACACTCTTAGGGCACATACAATATTCTGGTCAGTAATTTTAATTCAATTCAACCCAAGATCAATTCATTTATGTTTACTGTGCCCTAAACAGGCTTCAGAGATATACTAGTAAACATGATGGAGCCAAGCTCCTGCCCTCACGGAGCATACAATGAGGAGAACAGATCCTATGTGCAGAGCATACTGAAAAAGGAACATAAGGGAATTTAACCATTTTGAGGGGGTGGGGGATGAGAGTGGATTTGACAAATGAGTATATAGTCAGGTAATTGGAAGAAGAAGGAAAGAGGAGAAACGGGAAATTCCAGGCAAAATTGACAGCATATAGAAAGGCCTGGAGGTCAGAGACACTGTGATGTAGCTCCTTAATGCATTGAGAGAATGAACGGGCAAAGAAGGGCCTGCAAGGCTAGAGAGGGAGGGCCAACGAAATATCAAGGGGAGACAAAACGCCAAGTGTGAAAGCAAATCTCTGACTGGTGGTAAATGTGACTCACATGGCAATTTTCTTTGAAAAATTTAAAATGTTAAAAGTTAACCTTAATAATCTTATACTTATTTATATTTTTACTATATGTATCACTGAAAATTGATTTTGAAAGTATAACAATGATTCTGGCATCCAGTTAAGTGGCTTCTCTGCCCACCTAGTAAAGCGCCCATGTGCTCCTCCTCAGTGACCACCCACCTTAATGAGCAATTAATCTTTTTCCTACAAAGTAGATTAAATCTCAAGTCACCTTTAGATCCTGGGGCCAAAGCAGCTCTTTTTATAGCATAGGTCTTGAGACATCTTTCAAAGGAGTCATCCCAGAGAGCTACTACCCCATCTTTTCCCCCAGTCACAAATCCCTAAGGAAGTAAAAAGTTTAAGTTAACAAAAATCTAAATATTTAAAAAAATAATAACTTCTTTATACTGAAAAACTCTAAAGGAAAGAATATTTATAGCCAAAAGTTACAGCTTATAGAAAACACAAATTAGCATAAGAATCCATTATGTTTTTTTAAACATCAACATGGCATCTGCAAAACTATCTACAGTGACACTAAACATTCTACTTTTTGGATAGGACTTTAAAAACACAGTTTGCAATTTGGAGCCATAAGGTAGCTCCACCACTTTCAGCAAGTTACATATATTCTCCTGGAGGCTTCATAATCCCATATTCTAAAAAGAAAGGATAAAAACAGTTGCTACCTCACAGAATATGGTGATTAAATATATAAAGTACTTAAACAATTTTTGATACATAGTAAGTGATTAATAAATATTAAGTTAAAAATTTTTTTAACAGCAGACCTATTCTACTCTGTGTTCAGCAGTTTGAAAAGAAGAATAACATATGGCCAGGAAGACTCTAGCTCACAAATTATTATTGGGTAGCTCAGCTAAGCACAAAGGTAATGTGCTTTACTTGTGAAAATGTTCTGTACTCCATGATCAAATTGTGTTTAACTTAAAATACCTTTAAGTTACTTACTTTTTCCAATGCATGCATACTGAACATTGGCCCATCATGTGCTTTAACTGTTTTTACAAGAAAGATGTCTCTCCAAATACACACGTCTCCTGTGGATGTTCCAGAAAAAGCCATCTCTTCAGTCCATCCATACACTGCACACATCATAGTGTCATTTTTCCCCAGTGTGCCTACGTAGCCTTTTCTTCCAATCAATCCTCCCCCTGGTTCATAAAAAATATTATGAAAGTACCACTTTCAACTCTATGAAGCATAAGCAGTAAAATTCTCTTCTACAGTTGCTGTTCTTATTTAAAGAGAAAGACATGTAACAGTAAGGAGAGTTTAAAAGTAAAACATAGGTCTCTCAATCAGTGACTTGCGCAACAACCTGCTTTGCTGAGCCTTACACATGGCTGCTTTTAGCACATAGCTTTTTGGATAAAAAAAATACACTAAGTCAGTTTTAATCAGTCTTTTGATTAATTTTTTCAAAAATTTTATTATGACATATTTAATACAAAAGTAATAAAAATACAATAAATTCTTCTATATCCATTATCAATTTACATAAAATTACTAAAACAACCAAAATGTATACCAACCACATCTCCCTTCTTCACCCCCTCCTATTCTGAATGTGATGTTGATCATCCTCACACACTCCCTTATACATATTCTACTACTTATTCATGAATTCTTAGGTAGTATGTCATATTATTTTTCATGTTTTAAAATTCTCTATACATACCATCCTGTATGTATTCTTTTGCAACTTATTTTTTTCACCAACAATTTGTTGCGGAGTTTTATACATGTTTCACCTCTAGAAAACTCATTTTCATATTTATATAACATTCCATTACATAAACATAACATCTTCCTATTAATTGGACTTAATAAAGCTGCTTCCAAGATTTTGCTATTGCAAACAAAGCTGCTTTAAACATTCCTGCAAGAGCCTTTTCTATAAAAGTTGAAGAGATTCTGTAGGAATGCCTAGGAATGGCCACAGGGTATGTGTAAAAGGAACAGCATATAGATGAGAGGTAGCATTTGTTGTCAAACTGTTCTCCAAAGCTGATACACCAAGGTAGCCTCCCACTAACAGTGAAAGGAGTTCCTGTCCTTCCCCACCTCTGAGGAATACTTACTATTGTCAGACTTGGGGGATGTGAAATATCAACTGGATTTTACTGTGGTTTTAATTTGTATTTCTCCAATTATTAATGAGCTTAATCATCTTTTCCTATCTTTATTGGTCACCATTACCTATTGATATCTTTTGCCTATTTTTTCAAGCGAACTTATTCATTCATTCAAGATATATACTGGACACTATTCAAGGCAGTGGGGGCAGAGTTATGAACAAAACAGGCAAGACCACAAAATTCCCTGCTTTCATGGAGCTTCCTGGTGAGAAACAGTCAATAAATATGACAAATCAGCAAAATATGTAGTATATTAGATGATGATGAGTCCTATGGAGAAAATGAAAGCATAGAAGGGAGATAGGAAATGGGAGGGGTCCTTTTTAAGAAGGGTAGTTAAGAAAGGCCTCACTGAGAAAGTGGTATCCGCATGAAGACCTGAAGGAGGCAGCAAGAACAAGCTATGTAAAAAAAGTCTTCAAGACAGAGGGATCAGCAAACGCAGAGGCCCCAGTGCAGGAATACAAGAATCTTCAAAGAACAACTAGGGAGGCCAGTATGGAGTAGCAAAGAAAGTAAGGCAGTAACAGGAGACGGGGTCGGAGAGGTCAAAGGCAGCATTACAAGCCATTGTGAGGATTTAATTTTTACTCTACATGACATGGAAAACATTTGGGTAGCGGAGTGACAAGATTTGGCATATCATTTATTACCAGGTTCATTCTGATTTCTGGGTTGAGAGTAATTTGAATGGCAACAAAGATGAAAAGAGTTATCATCTGGGCAAGTGATAAGGGTGGCAAGGGCCTGGTGGTAGCATGGAAGACGATGAAAAGGAGTCATATTCCAAATGTATTTGGAAGACTGTCTTTTCTTACATAGCAGCCACAGTTGTCAGTGAACTTGCAAGGGCAGTTAAGTGGTGAGGGGGAAAACAGATTAGACTTCTCTCAAAGGAGGAAGATAAATAGCAAATTTAAAGTGTAAATAACTTAAATAACTGTTTGGACATTTTTTAGTGCATAGCAGAGAACAGAAATTAATTAGCAATGGGAGGGTCGAGCTGAAAGAGGGTTTTCGTTTGGTTTTACTTAGGGTGGAGAAATAACACATTGGTATGCTGAAAGGGAAGAGTCAGTAGAAGGGAAAACTGACGATGCAGGAGAGAAAGGGAAGAGTTGGAGTGATGTCATTGAATAGGGGAGAGAAGGGATCTAGTGCACAAGTGGAGGGACTAGCTCTCACCAGAGCACTGATTATCCATCCAGAGCAGGGTCAGCACACTACCGGCTGTTGGCCAAATCCGGCTACCACTTGTTTTTAGACAGTACCCACTGGAACAGAGTCACAGTGGTAATGTCGATTTCGTTCTCTGCTCCCAGAGCCTGCCGCCTTGACTTTTGGCTGCCTGAGCTGGTCACCATCTACAAGATGAGGACTTTGCTAATGGCCACTGCTGGGTACCTAGCAGTGAAATCACAGTCCAGGAGTTGCCTTGCCTCTGGACATCTGACCAAGCTGAGAAGACAGGGCTCTCCAGGAGAAGACACAGTAGGAGCTATGTGTCATTATGGCAGAGTGAGGCTGACCATTGTGCCCCTAGCCCAACCTGCCAGCCCTGTTCACCACAGCAAGCTGATCTTGGAGGGAATATCTCTAGGTAACAACAACTGGGTGCAGATTGGGTAAGGCAGGGCAGGAGTTTTCTCTCTTGTTCTATAGGTACCTACATAATATTCTTGATTTTGTCCCTGGATCTGGAAAGTCTAAAATATTTACTATTTGGCCATTTACAGAATTTTCCACTTCTGGTTTAGGCAATCATTACTGGGTTTTCTGATACACACAGCGTAACATATTCCTGTCGTACAAGGTCATGTCATTATTGCATTTAAAAACTTTCAGCGGCTCCCTGTTCCACCAGCCATGGAATAGAATTCAAATTCCTTAGAGGAGAGACTAATAATTCCTAATTTGGAATTCTCAAAGCCCAGATCTGGGATAGGAGGTAAGAAGCTTCCTTTTAGCCTCAGTCCTAAGTCATCTTTAACTTAGTTTACATAAAGCTATGCAATTAGAGGGTTCGACAGATGGCATTTATTCAGATTAATAAAGTTGTTACTTATTTCCCAGTGGATGAGTGAACTCTGGATCAGAAGCCCCAAAGTGAGAAAAGATGAAATGCACCAAAATCTTAACATTTATCCTTTTACGGTTCAGTTTCAGGTCTACTATATGTCTAATCAAACTTGAGGAAAAAATTTATTCAGTTGCAAATCTTTTCATCTTAAGGCTATTTTCTTTCTTTAATTGTCTTATTTCAAACAAATTTATAGTTTTTAAAAAATACTATAATAATAATAAGCAATAATAAGCATTATTTGCTGGGTATTTGCAATTCCAAGTGACTAAGATACTCAAAAGTTTTGTTTAAATGTATGGGAATGAAAAGTACAAATGAGAAGATACTTCTTTTTACTTTGTAAATGTATATACACCATCATCTGATGAGTTTGTGATAAAGTTTAAATCCAAGTCTGAAAATCGATTTGTGTCCTAAGTAGTTTACAATCTGAAAGTTAATTCAGCTTGGAAAATAGTTTCACAAAGCCTGTTCTTTTCTAACCTATGTTTCACTTCTCTCGATACCTATGTATTTTATCTGAAAGGTTTAAGTGTACTGAGACTTTGATGTCAAATTGCTTTAATGTATAAGTATACTATTCTATTTAGAAAAGAGATTTTTTTACTTTAAAATGTGAACTTCTTCTACAGTCATTAATTTACTAAATGACTAAAGTAATAGAACATTCCATTTCTGTATCATTTTATAGCACTTACAGAATTCTGACACAACTTTTCATTATCAGTTTAGATTAAAAAACATGTCTAACAGAAGAAGTCTGGACATCACTTGATTAATCTCATAAGTTAAATCCTTTTGTAAATATGAATACTATACCAATGAGCCAGTAAAAGATAAAATAAAGCTAAATATTTTTTAAACATTTTTTAATTGAGTTATAGTAATTTTATAATGTTGTATCAAATTCCACTGCACAGCACAATTTTTCAGTTATACATGAACATACATAAATTCATTGTCACATTTTGTTTCACTATGAGCTACCAAAAGATCTTGTATATAGTTCCCTGTGCTATACAGTATAATCTTGTTTATCTATTCTGTATTTTGAAATCCCAGTCTGTCCCCTCCCACCCCCTGCCCCCTTGGCAACCATAAGTTTGTATTCTATGTCTATGAGTCTGTTTCTGTTTTGTATTAATTTTTTTTGTTTGTTTGTTTTTTGTATTTTTTTTAGATTCCACATATGAGCGATCTAATATGGTATTTTTCTTTCTCTTTCTGCTTTACTAAATATTTTTTTAAAATGTATCAAGACAACTGTGAAATATTCTTTTTAAAATAAACTTTTCATTTTGGATAATTTTATGTTTTCATAAAAGATGTAAAGATAACACACAGTGTTCTCATATACTCCTAGCCCATTCAGTTTCCCAAAATGCTAACATCTTACAATACTATAGACTACTCGTCAAAACTAAAAAAAAATATGTTTAATACATTACTATTAACTGAACTCCAGACTTCATTCAGATTTCACCTGTTTTTCAACTAATGTCTCTTTTCTGTTTCAGGATTCAATCTAGGAAACCACATTGCACTTAGCCAAATCACTTTTAAAAGTAATAGTTTCGTAAATTTCAAAGGAGTAAAAAGAAGCACTTCCTTACCTGCTCTACGCCAAAATTTCATGTGTTTAATTCCAGCTGTAATTAATTTATCAGGCACGTACGGGTTCATCTTTACAACAAAAATCTTATCTTTACTTCCTCTGAAATAAATATCAAAATGTTTTAACTCTGAAAATAAATCTCTCCTATAATAATCTTTTGCCTAATCCATAACCTATCTTGATTACTCTGTTGCTAAATGCTTGGCCCACTTGTCTCTCAGGTTTGGGCTATGTAATCATGCATTTGTACGTTTAAAATTTTGTCATTAATTTATTAACTCTTGTCAACAGACTCTTAAAAGGTAGGAACAGTGAGAATTGAACGTTTGGATAGCCCCTACTATAGTCCTGTGCACAGAGAATGCCATTTGTGGCATGAAGGAGTTAAAGAAAACACTTTTTTTTATAGTACTCTGCTATAGCTTAATATAGCCTTTCTAAACACAAAATCCTTCTTAAACTATCTTTTATTTGGGGACTGTCTGTCTATTCCGAAAAAAGCATTTACCTATATTTTAAAGTGTTTTACATCTCACTTTAAGGAATAGGAAGTTAAAAAAACCAACACTTAATTATTTCCTCCCTGAAAGCAATTGTTAATATTTTTATTATTATAGCAATAATAATGCTCATTGTAGAAAATTTACAAAATGAAAAATATAATGGAGAAAATAAAAATAATCTGTAGCTTCTTTGTGATACATGTGTGTATGTATCTTCTTTCACTCAAATTTATAATAGGAGCATTCTATAATGTTTTCAATGACTACAGAATAGCTTATCTTACAGAGAATTATAGGTAGAATTCACTCAACCTATAAATGGAGATTTTAGATAGTAGCTACCTCCAATCTTACACTATAGTTACATTAAAAAAAACTATAGTTCACAAGGGATAAACCTACAAATGAATCTTGAATCCCTTGTCTTTTTATCATGATTATACTATTTACTCAATGGTAATAAAGATAGCAGGGATAAAAAAAGTTATGTTTGCCTGATTTCAAAACTATTATAATTAAAAAAAAACTGAAAGTCCAAGAAATTTCAGCATCTCGTCAATGTAATATCAAGTTTTCCCCTACCTTGCTATTGAAAGCTTCTCTCCTTTCTTCCAGTCCCACAGCACAATAGTGTGGCTATCATCTATACCGACTGAAGCCAAACGTTTCCCATCCGCTACGAAAAGTAATCAGAGAGGTAGACTGTCCATTAATATTCATATGATAAAAAACATTCAGCACATATTCTGATACCACAGCACCGTATTTAAAATTTTATAAAATAATATTAAATGTTAGGCATGTATACAGCTATAGGGAAAAAAACCCCATAATTTACAAGGAGGGGGAAGAATCGTTTCTCAATGTATCTTAACCTAACTGCTAACACTTTCTCTGACCTCATTTTACCTTATCTATCTATCAGTTTGAGGAGGGGAAAGAATGAAGATAAGTAGAAAAAAGAGATTTTAAAGGAGAGAAGGAAAGGAAAAACAAGGAAGGAAAAAATGAATCACGCTGATGAAATTCACCATATGAACTCTCCAGTGATATAAGAAGTCACAGGGATTATGAAAAGTTAATCAAATGAAAAAGACCACATATTGCTGTTAATATCACTGTTTTTGGTGAAGGTCAATTATTTTAGTTGTTTCTACTATCAAGCAATAAGTAATGACTATCTGACAAATGACTGAGCCAAGTCAGTCATGCTGGCAGGCGTGCATATGTTTACAGGTTGCAAAGGCTCGATCTGTAAGGAAACATTTGCCACTCTGCCACACTTTCTGCAAGCCTCAATTAGTTCATTATCACTACCAGTGTTATTTTTCTTGTTGACTCCCTTAGTTTCACATTCAGTTTCTTAACCTTTTGCAGATTTCTGAATACATATATACATTTTCCCCACAAACTCTACCATGAATAATTCACTGTCACTTCAGACAGAGCAGCCGAAAGCACAAATTTATGGTCTCTAAATATAAAATTCTCTATTAATGGTATTTCCCCCTCTTCCGAATCCACACCTTAGCTTTTATTATAGATCTATCTGTAGTTGTTAAACTTTTAAATATGTAGCAAAGAGCTAACATGATCTAAAACTATTTTGATAAGATAACTCAGAATTGTCACTTCATAAAAATGTTATAAAACAAACATTTTAGTTATCACCTCTTTCTTAGCTTTCAATTTAAACATTTTCAAAGTTTATTCTGTGGCTGCAAAACATTAAGTGAGATCAGGGTTTGCCCAAAGCAGGAGATACATACCACTAGTGGTAACTGAGATGGTTTCAGAGGTTATATATGCAAACATTTTTTATTTTAATGGAAACAACTTCATATTAGTGGGTACTAAAAATTATACTCATTAAATTATAATTATAAACCAGCTAGCAAACCCATACTTTCATAGCCTTGATTGACTTGGAAAACAGTACGCACAGTTGATAAAAATTATGGAGGTCATTGCTAAATGACAAGTTTAGGCAATGCTCATTTAGACTAAACTGCTATGTATTGCCTCTGCATTTTGATCATTCTTACTGAGACAGAAAAATTGCCTTACCTGAGAAATCAACAGCACAGACACCATATTGGTGGTAGCCCTTTAATATTGACAATGGTTTAATGGTCTCTGTGTCCCATATGTGAATTGAGGGATCTCTGCCTACCTAAAATAGAAAGCATTATAAAAGTCATTTTATATAATTAAACCATTTATTTTCATATACACAAAAAGAAATAAAACAGAGTTTACAGCCTTTGTCTTATCTGCTACATTTATCAAATAAAAAATATAAAGCAGACTGTATATGTGACCAACATTTTTGTCCTTACATTTGTTGAAAAGCTAATGAGACGAGGCTCAGTGTTTCTTGGAATGTTCTAGAACCATGTGGTTCCTCAATCTTATCTGATATATCATGAATAAAGATACTGCTTACTGAGCACCAATTATTGGCAGTGTAACTATGCTAGGTACAATGAACACTAAGACATTTAGATAAATTTGTAAACTTATTGGGAAAACAAGATATTGTCAGTTAATAAGAATGTCTGGGAATATATGCTTCACGAGGAGGAAAAGGTTGTAGAGAAAATCTTCATGGAAGAGACGATACTTGACCTGGGCCTTTAGAAAGTGTAGGTCTTGGATTGAAAAAAGCAAGCAAGTAGGATAGGCTAGGATAATGGTGTAAATGAAGATAGAGAGGGATGAAAGCACGAAGCAGGTTAAGAAGACTTAATTTTTAATTATTTCTTTAGACTCAAGTAATCACTTTCTTTTACTATACAGATTAAGAGACATAATAACTTTGCCTGTAAAGGCAACTCCTGAAATAACTAATATAGCTGCTAATTATCATTATTTTTGAAATTGTTTTTATATAAAGACATAAATAACAATACTGCAATCAGTATTTCACTAAATTATTAACTATTTTCCTTTGTCCTGTCAATTCTCTACAGATTTGCTGTTTTCTATATAAGCTGGAACTCTAAACCACCATTTTGAGTTACTTTTGGTTTAGGTTTCTTGCAGGTGATATGCGCTGCACCTGTTAACAAATGGTTTTTCTCTTGTTAATATGTCTTTTTGTTAGAGTCCCAGCTAAAAACCTAGGACAGCAAAAGGTCAAGTTTTGCCTGTCCTACACTGGGTATCCAGAGATGTCCTGTGGGCATACTGACTTTTAATTTAATCTGGCCTGAATTCCCTAAGATTCCAGACTTATAGCAGTAAATGACCAGTTTTTACACTGTCTTCATTCCAGTAGGACCATAGTAATGTCCAAACTTTTTGTCACAGCACAATAGGTCCATTATTGTGTTTTAAGAGGAACCATTTATATAAACTAAAGGTGAAGGCAAATGGTGCCCCTGAGGTCCCCATTTAATTAGTTCTTCCACTAATGTCCATCATGCACTCTATGATTTGAATACCATTGAGCTACTCACAGTTCTTTAAAGAAGCTGCGTTTTATTTTTAGTTTTGCCCACTGTTACACAAGATATAACCCACTTAGAACACTTTTCCCAACCTCCCCACGGTCAGGTAAACTACTTAACTCAAATGTCATTATCATCTCTATGAGGGCTTCCCTGATTCTATTAGGCACAATTAATAAGTCCTTTATTACATTCCAGGAGGATTTTATACATATCTCTACATTAGTGTTTCTCAGCGGGGGGGGGGGGGTTGCCTCCCAGGCAACATCTGACACTGTCTGGAGACATTTTTAGTTGTCACAAGTGGAGTGGGTGGTGTTACTGGTACCTAGTGCATAGAGGCCAGAGACGCTGCTAAACATCCTACAATGCACAGTATTGTACACAAAATGTGTACATTGTACACAAAAATGCAATGATCCTCACAACAAAGAATTATCTGTCCCAAAATCTCAACAGTGCCGAGGTAAGAAGCCCTGATTTATACGTATGACTTTGTATCACAATTTTCTGGCATGTCTCTCTTCCCCCAGAGTATGAATGTTTCACTATGGCAAGAAGATATTTTATTTATATTCCCAGCATATTTCCTGGTACACAGCAATGCTCTATGAATGTTTCTGAGTGAATGGAAGAAAGGAGGGAAAAAAGAAGGGAAGGAAAACGAAGGAGTGAAAGAAAGACTGAGGGAGGCACAAAGAGAGGAAATATGGGAGAAAGAAAAAGGGAAAAATTTTCTCTCCTTTCAGGGAAGCTACATGCAAGCTGCCTACCCTCTGCCCCCAACATATGCTAGGTGGTATATTTACACAGTTCAAAGCCAGACAGACTAAGGTCTTTAGGCTTTACCACTTATTAGCTGAGAGATCTTTAAGAAAACTATCTAATTTCTCTAAACCTAAACTTCCTCATTTATAAACTGGGGGAAGTGGTTTCACTCTCATAGAGGTGACGTGAGAATAAAATAAATACACATTAAGAAACTAGTAAAGAGCTTACAAACAGTGAGAATTCATAAACATCACCCCTTCCCTTCCTTCTCTAAGAATATCCACATAGAGAGGTATTAGTTAAGACTTTTCTCAGTGTTCTCTATTTCATTATTTCTGCTTTTTACCTTGGTAAACCTGCATATGTTACTATCATGATTGTAAAATAAAAACATAGTCATCCTGTTTGTCACAGAAAATCTGATAGATAACTTATGTTAAATAATTTTTAAAAACCAGATTCTAGTCTTTATGCTTTTTATATTTATGCAAAAAATTTTTTAAACTAATATTATCTTAACAGAAAGAAGTTAAGCCAGAGCTCTTAGATCCAAATTCAAATTATAATAACAATAATTAAAGCAGTAAAACTCTAAGGAAAATTATAGGAAAAAAGTTAGGGTAAATTTTATTTGCACTAATAGGTAGAACTCTCCCTGGCATAAATCACAGCAATATTTTTTTCAACCTACTTCCTAAAGTAATGGAAATAAAAGCAAAAATAAGTAAATGGGACCTGATTAAATGTAAAAGCTTTTGCACAGCAAAGGAAACCATAAACAAAATGGAAAGACAACCTACAGATTTATGGGATGGGAGAGAATATTTACAAACAATGAGACCAATAAGGGATTTACTGCCAAAATATACAAACAGCCCATATAGCTCAATATCAAAAAAACCCCAACCCGATTAAAAATTGGGCAGAAGACCTAACTAGACATTCCTCCAAAGAAGACATACAGATGGCCAAAAGGCACATGAAAAATGATCAACATCACTAATGATTAGAGAAATGCAATTCAAAACTACAATTAGGTATCACCTCACACCAGTTAGAATGGCCATCATTAAAAAGTCCACAAATAATAAATGGAAAGGGTGTGGAGAAAAAGGAACCCTCCTACACTGTTGGTGGGAATGTAAACTGGTGCAGCCACTAGGAGAACAGTATGGAGATGCCTTAATAAACTAAAAACAGAGTTACCATATGATCTAGTAATCCCTTTTCTGGGCATATATCTGAATAAGACTATAACTTGAAAAGACACATGCACCCCAATGTTCACAACAGCACTATTTACAATAGCCAAGACATAGGAGCAACCTAAATATCTACCAAGAGATGAATGGATAAAGATGATGTGAGGCATATATATATATATATAATACATACACACACACACACACACACACACACGATGATGCAATACACACACACACACACACACACACACACACACACACACACACACTGGAATATTACTCAGCCATAAAGAATGAAATAATGCCATTTGCAGCAACATGGATAGACCTAGAGATTATCATATTAAGTGAAGGAAGTCAGAGAAAGACAAATATAGTATAATATCACTTATATGTGGAATCTAAGGGGAAAAAAAGACACAAATGAACTTAATTACAAACCAGAAATAGACTCACAAACATAGAAAACAAACTATTTTACCAAAGGGGAAAGGCGTGGTGGGAAGGGATAAATCAGGAGTTTGGGATTAACATATACACACTATTATATATAAAATAAATAAACAACAAGGACCTACTGTACAGCACAAGGAACTATATTCAACACCTTGTAATGGCCTATAATGGAAAAGAATCTGAAAAAGAATACACACACATATACACACACACGTATACATATAACTGAATCACTTTGTTGTACATCTGAAACTAGCACAACCTTGTAAGTCAACTATACTTCAATAAAAATTTTTATTTGTAATATGAAAATAAAATCCTATTCCAAAGAATTCTTGATTTCCTAGAACACAAAAGATGAAGAAAAAAGTGGACTAACCTAACTTGAAACCCAAACAAAGGTCTAACCTATCTGGTCTGTTGTCATACAGGTTTTCAAAGAACCTACCTGGCCTGTTGCCACATAGTCTTTCAAAGGATGAATAGTCAGGCAGAGAATATCATCATCATGACCCAAGTAAAAGCGCTGTGTGTTCTGCTGTCGATTATAAATGACACCCACTGCTGCCACATGGTACACAATTTCACCAATTTGAGTATAAAACAGATTACTTCGACAGTCATAACCTCTGTAACTAAATATAGAAAAACAAATCATATAACATTAACTTTGTCGTTTTACTAGTGGAGACTATGCAGAGGACATTCAATTTGCAGTTCTGCAAGATACTGAACAATTAAAACAAAATACAAATATCTCAGATCGCATAAACTTTTATGAATGCTTTGATTACAAAAAGCTAAATCCAAGGTATAATACTGAGTGAAAAAAGTTAGGGGCATATAGTACACTACTATTTGCATAATAAGTATGTACAAAATTTGTATATTATAAAACAAAAAGTTAATTTTTTAACAAGTGAAAGGGTATAGAAAATAATATATGTGTGTACATACATAAATATTTCTAAAACTAAGTAACAGTGATTACCCTTGGAGGAGGGGAAATGATGGCTGGGAGGGCAGAGATGGGAAGATTTTTGAAGTGTATCCTTTTATACACATTGTTGAAGCCTGAGAATATAATATATATATTTCAAAAAAAAGTTTAAACAGCAATTTTAAAATTATACATTTCCAGAAAAAAGTAGCCAAATCCTTTAAAAAAATGGCCAATACAGTTCTATTTATAGCAAATTTCTTTGCGCTTCAAAGAAACCCAATTCATAAAACATGAGTATATAGAAATTTAGTCCCTATTTTAACACTGGAGAAAAAAGTGTTACTAAATAAGCCCATTTTCATAGTCTTGAAAACATTATCAGTCAGGTAAGAAGATGATTACTAGACGAGGGGAAAGAAAGAATTGGAATGGAGACTCTTGTTCCAGGATGAAATACGAGACCTATATTGCCAGATGGTCAAAGAGAATCCACAAACTGTATTTTATTGAAATTAAAATATTAAGGTCAAAATGCCTAAGCCAAAACAAGCCACAATATCATTCCATATTAGACATATTTAGGGGAGATGATAATCTCTTACATTTCATTTATTTTAAGACAAGAGATCCATTTATATAAATGCTAAATTTTTGTAAGACAAGTTAATTTTTATTTAATAAACACTTACATAGTGCTTATTATGTGCCAGACAACATTCTAAGTCATCACAAGCCCTAGCTTATTTACTCCTCACCAGAACCCTGTGAAGTGAGTACTGTTATCTCCATTGTACAGATGGGGAAATAGAAACACAGGGAGGTTAAGTGACTTGCTCAAAGTCACAGAGCTAGTAAATGTGAACCACAGTTCAAATATAAAGATGAAAAATAGTAATTTTATACCCGTGAACAAAGTGTAATCGGATACTATTTCCTGGAGCCCACTCTCTTCTCTTCGAAGTACCACTCTTTTGTTTCTCCTTGTACTGTTCTTTAAGCTGAGGTAGATCTTCTTTGTAAACCTTTAAATAATGTACAGAAGTAGAAATTTTCTTAGAATATATATTAATAAAGGAGTTACAGATTCCTAACGTAACTTTATAGACATTGTGGTTATTATGATCACTAGAGTTTTAACAACTGTCAAATTGGAAGGTTCTTTATGAAACTTACTTCCTTATAAAGACAAACTAATTGACATTTTCTATGTATCACACTGACAAAGACATATTTGGTTTCCATGAAATTTTTATACTTTGTAAGAGAGTATCTGAAAGGAAATAAATAGAAGTGTACTGTGACAGAAAACACATATAAAATAAAATATATTACAGGCACAGTATATCAAGCACTTAATATAAAGAACATTTTATCATGTATAGCTGAAAAATTGTGCTCTACAATGGAATTTGATACATTGTAAAATGATTATAAATCAATAAAAAATTAAAAAAAAAGAACATTTTACACAAGTACTTTAACTCTTAAAGGGGGAAGAAGCCACATATTTCCTGGAAAATTAAAAACCACAAAAGATAACAACAGATAAATAAACAACAGGAAGCAAGATAAAGAGGAAATCAAGACTTTTTCAGGGAAAACTCATGTGATAATAAAAATTACCTGCCGACGGTAGGTGAGCTGTGTCTCTTGTTCAATTTCAGAATCCAGTTCTGGAACATCAGACAGATCTGAGTCTGATTCATCACTGTTAGAGTCAGCCAGACTTTCTGCAGTTTAAAAAGACAATACATTACTTATTTAAAGAAGATTCATTTTTCAAAACAGCACAATAAAATTAATGATTAAGGGCTGACTGTGCCAACTGACATGGAGACAAGCCATAAAACAATCAAATAAAATTACCTATTCAAGTGACACAGATGTCAGTAAACTGTACTACAGATTATCTTCCTCTCCACTCACTGCAAACTCAACAGTTCCTTTAAATCCCTTCACTGGCTCCCCAATGACCGCTACATCAAATTTAAATGTCTGTGCAAATATAAGTGAATATAACCTATAATTAACATGAAAATAGCTAGAAAATACTATACGCAACAGATTAACTGACATTAGATAATTTTTCTCTGTCAAAAAACACATATATAAAACCTAGATACCCATCTCCCAGAGAATGCATTAAAGGTTTGTTTTCCTAATGTGTTTTTCACTCATCATTTGATAGATTAAAATGTAACCAAAAGTACTATGTATTCCATGCTTTGCGACATCTGACTTTAAACATACAGACCTAATATTTTAATTTAAAATTTCCACTAATAATAACCTATACTGTTAACATATGAGACTAGTGTATATTTCAATAGCAAAATTGTTTTTGGGGGGTTATTGAAGAACTACTTGACAGAGAAATTGTTTAGGCAGTGTGCACTACTCACCTTGAGGTGCTATGTGAAGAGCATCTTTCAGTTTTCTTTCAGGAATAAATTTCCACTGAAAGACAGAGTGATCTGCTCCACCAATCGAAATAACCCACTGATAATCATGTGACCATCTGACATTAGTTACGTGAGCTGAATGGCCAATGTATTTTTTAAACTTGGCTCCTATAATAAAAATATACCTTTAAACTGGTAAACAAAAAATTTCTACACCTGAACCAATACATCCTACTTCTATTCTCTTAACTATAATCAAAGAGCGAAAATATTAACTCAAAAATCTGATGAATGAACAAATGAATGAGTCTATATCAAGATATGCAAATCTTTGCTCTACTGATTCACAATATAATTTGGTAGGAACCACAAGGGCTGTGAGGCATTCTTACTGCTCTGAGAAAAGCCTGTAGCCATGATTGCTTTCATATTAAGATACTTGAATGTTTTAGCCTGAGGCCCTTGGTCTTAAGTGACATTGACCAGTCTACTCCTCCCCCACTATTCTCAGCCCTAGCAGCCAGAAGATCCTTTTAAATCTTAAGTCATCAGCAAAGTACTAGCAACATATAAAAAGGACCACACAATATAACCAAATGGGATGTATGCCAAGAGTGCAAGATTGGTTCAACATCCAAACATCAATCAATATAGCATACTGTATTAATCAAAACAAAATATGTCCAGTTGTTCCAACAACAGGCTTTTACAGACATTTTAAAAGCCTATATATTTTATATAATGTGCTTCAGTGTGGGTTGGTCTGATGTTTCTTCATAATTAGATTCAGATTTTTTTGCACAGGCAATGTTGTGTCCTTTTGGATACATCATTTCAAGGGGCACAGTTCTATCGCAAGTGATGTTACTAAGTCAGCAGCATTGGTTAAGGTGTTATACACTAGATTTCTCCAACTGCAAAGGAGTTTTTTTTTTTTAACTTTCTTAAGGAGTTGTTTGTAAAGGAGTTATTTAATTTTTAAAAATCTTTGTGATGATAGGAACCATTTTTGTGGTTACCTAATACACATAATACATTTCCTGTATCCTGCTTAGATAAACCTGATATATGGCAACACGTACATATCCCTGTTAAAGTACACTAACACAGAAATGTTCAGCTTCATTTTGATAATGTTTTAAAAGTTTTATGTGAAGTTATATAAGGCCTGCATGTCAGGATGGCAAAGCTTCATCAAACTGGAGAAAAACTTTCACCTTGGCCATGAATTTAGGGATAGCCATTTTAAAGCATAAAGGATTTGACCAAAACTATATAAATTACAATTTACTGCTGCTTAATAGTAATACTATTATTTTAGGAATCAATTTTTTTTATGTAACTTAATAGAAGTCAGTAACTTTCTAGATGGGTAACTTGCCACAATACACTCAGCAAAGTCCTATAAGGTCAGGTTTAGTTCCATCTTCCTCATAAGAGAATGCATTATTTCCCTGTCAAGAGGACTTTGGCTACTACTTTCTTTGATGGGGCTCTTTACATACTCTTAGGCACCTAAAAGGCAAAGCCAGAGATTCTAGCAAATAAAATTCCAAGTTTTTAAGATGTACTAATTTTGTTATGTTTAGAGCAAATGAAGAAGAGTTATCTGAGCACCCGTTCCAATTGATTATACTGGGTGATAGCTCTAAGAGAGGTGTAAATAATCCTGTAAAATTATTTTCTCTGTGACTTTTCAATGATCAGCTCCTCTGGAAGAGCCAAGGCAGTTCAACAAGAAAGTTGTGGAATAAGTCTAAAGGAAGCCGATTATTCCTAATCAAAGGGACTTTATTAACAATTATTTAATAATTAGCACTGTTTATCTAACTGTGTTGAACAGTCATCTTAAAAGTGAACCTAGATGTCGTATCTTTTAAGAAGTGATCCTGACTCACCAAGACCAACCATATCCTCCTACATGCTTCCAGAATTCCCAGTGATCACCCTATGTGATTATATTTATGACACTAAAATGTAATAGTCTATTTATTTGTTAACTCCTCTAATAAATTATAAGCCCCTTAAGGACAGGGATGGTATCTTGTTTACTATATATCCCTAATGTCAAATACACAGTAATCATTCACTGGATATTTCAAGAGAAAGAAAGGGAAAGAAAAAGAAAAATCATATTTTCCTTTATTCTGCCTGTACTCTTGAGATGGAATGCTAGATTGTAGGGCAGGAAGAAGAGTAGTGAAGGAGAAAGGAGAGGGCATGACCTCCAACCCTTATGAGTCATAAAGGGGACAAAACTTCTGATGTAAAGTATATTAGAGTTGAAATCAAAAGACTGGAATTTGAGTGTCAGCTTGATTACTTAATAGTATAGAAGCAGGAGCACATCCTTTACTCTCTCTTAGACTCCATTTCTATTTTAGTACAAATTGGATTATAAGCTCTCAAAGTCCCTTCATTTTTAAAAACTGACCTATTATAGGAAGTGATAAAAAGAACAGCGAAGGCCTAAACAGCATGTCATCAATTAGGACTAATACCTCAGAGAAATTATTTATCGAATCAATATGGCCACAGAAGCTTTCCTTTTAATTTAAATTTAATTTAATTTAAATTTTAATTTTAATCAACTTAAATGAAAAGAGAATGATAATTCTTGACAAGGATAAGGTAATAAACTGAAATATTTGTTTCAATGATCCCATTTCTTTTCTAATTTGTTTTAGGGTATATTTAAACACAAAGTTCATATTAGCTAAATCTCTTCAATAAATCATAACAATATGCAAAAAAACTTTTTCCCATTTAACAATATTTGATTACCTTAAAACTTCTAGATACAAAATATATGAGAATATCTTTTTGACTCTAGTAAAAAGTATACTTCCTTAGTACACAAAACAGCACTGTTCAGGAAAAAAAAGAGAAACTTACCTGACTACATTGAAATTAAAAATTAGTCAACAAAAGACATCATTAAGAAAAAAAAGCCAAGCCACAAATTGGGAAAAGACTTTGCAATTCATAAAAATTACAAATCATTCGTATCTAGAGTATATAAAATTACTTCAGTAAAACAATAAAAGAAACAACTCTATAGAAAAACAGGTGAAAGATACGAGCCTGTGTTTGACAGAAGAGGAAATGCAGAAAATAAAAATATACTGAAAAAAGATGGTCAAATTCATCAGCAGTTAGACAAATATAAATTAAGACAATGTGACAACATTTACACTAACTAGATTTACAAAAATTAAAAGTATGGCAACGCCAAGTGCTGAAGAGGATGTAGATCAACAGAGTTTGTAAAATGGTATAACTATTTCAGAAAACAATTTGACATTTTCTTACAAATTCTCTATGACCCAGCGATTTCACTCCTAGGTATACATCTTTGAGAAAGCTGCGTATAATAGCAAAAGACTGAAAAGAACCCAAATGTCCACTGACAGAAGAATAAACACATGTACTGTATTATATATTCAGAACAGTATTTTACACCATGAAAAACAAATACATTAGAGCTACATGCAATAGTATGGATGAATCTTAGAAAAGTGGCGCTAATTCCCCATCATAAGTTTAATTGTTTGATATTTGTTTTGTTTTTCCAATGAATTTTCTCCTGGAATCTAAAAAAATATTTTTACCAAATGTAAGTTTTCTTTGTCAATAAGTACAGAAAGAGTTTGGCAATTATTAACAGTGATGAAGGTGTTAGATAAAGCAATCCCTCCCTCAACCTCTCCATCCTCCCCTACCTCCACATCCTCACCCTCCACCATTAGCACAGCCTCTGTGCTGCTGCCTGGAAAGAGTCTGATTATTTGAGAGAGACCACGGTCAAGAGCTGGATAATCTAGAGAGGAAGAGGATAATAATATACACAACAACAAAAAGAAGAGTAATGCTTTGGGCTGGGATCTGAGGGGGCGAAATGCAGAAGAAATCATTCTCTTTGAGCTAACCTCATACATTTTCTGTTTCAATTACAATGATTCTACAACATAAGCTACTTCTATTATTTAACTTCCTTCCACATCATATGAAAGCTTCACTTATTAGAATGTAATGGATATTACCTAAGTGGATATCTAAAATATATTAATACATCAAACACAATCTTTTCCCAAACAACTTAAGTTAGGTCAATAGTATAACTTAATGTATGAAATAATGTACAACACTTCAAAACTAATCTAAAAGACAAAGAATTTTTCTAGTAATACTGCTAGCTCTATGCAAGAATGTAAATTCAATAAACATAGAATCTTAAAATACTTCTACTAATCCTTTAAATATGCAGTAGTTACATCCTGTCTTCCTCTCTCCCATTTACCTACTCATAGTCTCAAGCTGACTCATAAGTGTCTAGAAATAAAAACCCTTACCATAGAATAAATTTCTAACAAAAATCTAAAAAAAAGAGAAAATAAGAAAAACAACTTATACTTATATTCTTATTCCTATGCATATATTCTTATATTATTCAGCAATAACCAAACAACACTAATTTTTCTTAAAGACTTTGGTAAAATATTCCTATAGCAATTCAGAAGACACATTTTATAAGTGAAATAAAATTACCAACCAATAAAAAAAAACTGTCTTCCTTGTTGTAAAGGATAAAAATTATGAGTAAATCCCATTCATTTGACTAAGAAAACTCAGAAAATTTAAAGTATTTTTTTCTTCATAGAGGCCAGCATATAAAAATGAGTAGAAACAACATTAAGATTAATATCATCATGATTAATCTTACTGAATCTCACACCTTCTAACAAGGTATCATTTTGAGTCACAATAAAATTTGTTGTGCCTGGTGACTCTCATGTCCTGGCTATGTGGTAGGATCCAGAGATAGGGTACTTTAATTGCTGGAGATTTAGCTAGCTTTTAACACCCTTAGTATTACTTATGGAGGCATTTTCACGTGCACCCAGGAAGCTGACATCTCGCAGGTGGGAACTGACAACGTGGCATAGCTAGCAGGATCTGAACTCACCAATTTACTGCAGAGGCGTGACAAATACCAGCCTAGACTTCTGGGAAAATTGGGCCCTTAAGTTTAACATCAGTGGACTACCTAAACATTTGAATAACACTATTTCAGCTGTTCCCAAATCATCTTTTACTAAATTGCATTTTAACATGTGCCCAATACCTTTTATTAACAACCGAGTGAAAATCATTACTGCTTGTGCTATAGATGCTGATGCTCTAAGAATACACTCACTGCACCTAATATAAAGCCGTATACTAAAGGAGAGAGTTCTTTGAAAATTAAATCTCAGAAGAAACTTTGCTTTCCCTGAGTAGTAAGTATGCTTTTTTATAAAAAGCTACAAAGAAAATTATTTTGTGCCCTGCTTTACTTTATTTTTGGTTTCCAGGAAGCTCAGATCCAATTTTGGTGTTTGACTACTGTCATTTTCTTTATCTGATTTTAATATGGTATTTCTAATTATATTTTTCCTGCTATGAATTCCTTACTTATATAATTGTTTCAGTATTTATGGACTTGGTATAAGCTGACTCAATGCTTTACAGAACAAGTCATGGAACAAATAAATGACTAATAGAGCATTTAATTTAATTATCCTCAGGTCTATGAACAGAATGATTAATAATATCATTTTAAAAGAGATCCAAGAAAAAGGTGATACAGAAAATATACAGAAAATAACCAGTGATAACCCTTATTTTTCTTACATCCTTCAGTTATGAAAAATAAAGAAGTGTCAAAACAACATATGTTAAGGATTTAATAAGCAAAAACACTTTCAGATAAAAACCAACAAGCCAACAGGTTCCAAACTGTGACCTAAACTTGTACAGCTGACTCCTTTATCAGAATTCTTGAAAAAAGACATAAGAAAAGTGTCTCCTAATAGTCAAATAAACTGGACCTTTTCACTCAATCAAAAAAAAAAAAGTCTCCTAAAAGATAGGTGTTCAACAAGTTAAATGATTAAAGATAATAAGCCATAAGAAAAGTGTAACTATCACTGTATAGTCTGACTGTATGAAGCAATTCTGGAAGTGGAAAGAAAATGATTATTTAAAAACAAAGAGGTAAAGTGTTAGTCCATTCATAATATATTAATTCAATATATTACTAATAAAAATTTCATGTCCAAAAATAAATGTAACATATGACCATAATTTCTGATTTAGCAAAATAAATAGTAGCAATTCTGTTCATTTTCATGAAACCCTTCACCAAATAATCAGCACACATATTTTAAAAAGTATAAGTCCTCTTATTTATCTTAAGATTAATCTTCTGCAAGAACTCCAAAGTCTTTTATAGAGAGAAATGAATTAATAATATTTTGAAAGAAAGGATTACCTTTTCTTAAACAAGGATATCGAAATAACTTTACAGTTCCATAGTCATCAGCTGTAACTAAAACTTGGCCAATATAGTTTCCATCTACTGAGTTTATATCATTGATATCTGAATACTTGGGCCAAATTCCATTTACTTCAAGGCCTGAAACACATGTCCATGAAGCCCAATGAACACCTTTTACTTCTTCTTTATTTGTCACTTCTTTTCCTCCTAAAAATGAATCAGAGTCTTAATTTACGAAGTTATTTCTTTTGATTTTCACTCAAGCATAACATGGTAAACTCCAAAATTTCAATATCTTCCCTCTCCAGTTAAAGGAGAATACATGAATAGGCAGGTGAGTATGATAAGGAGAAAATTCAGTGCAAGACATTTTTTAAAAGCCACTACCAAATTCACATTGATTCAGAGAGACACGCAGACTTGATGATGATGTAGCTTAGCAGGTTCACCCATGTGGACAATAAAACTGAACCCTATTAAAATCATGCTCCAGATTAGTCACATCAGGGTAAGTTAAAAGGAAAAGTAAATGCTATAAGAAAATGGCAAATCAGATATTAAAAAATAAACCTAAAAAGATACACGGTTGAGAAAAAGAACTGAAAAGGACCACAAAGGAAGAATGAATGAGTGGTGAGTAATACACTTATAGGTAACAGGACTTTAAGATTCAGTCAATCTTTATTACATACAGATTGTTAATAAAAACTTTGGGGAGATATATTAATTATGCAGCTAGCCTTATTAAATAAGTTATTGTAAAATAGTGACTAATTCATTAAGCATCATACTAAACAAAGCACTGAGATGATATTTGATGATTCTATTCTGATGATTCCATGTTTATTCTTTTTTTAAATCTTTGATGGAAACTGTTTTCCAAAATTAACTTGTTATCTACATTATTAATATTTGCAAAGTTGATTTGCAGTAAACACAAAATCCCCAAATAATTTATAGCCAAACATTTGTATCAATTATATTTAGTTAATTAGTTGTACCCATTAAAAATAGTATTTTGACTTTCTAATATACACTAGGACTTTACCATATACTAACTCATATGGCATGGAATTCAACATAAAATGGGTCTTAGAGCTTCTGAGCAAAGAAGTTTTAATTAAGAACCAAAAGGATTTCAAATCATAAGGCAGCCTTGTAGAAAAGATCACAGTGCCTGAAGTATTAGCTCAGATCTTTGATTTCCTATAATTAAATGTAACTTACACTATGCTTCTAGTGAAATTCTAAGATATTTTAAAGGAACTAAAAATCTACAAATTATATATAATTTATAGGAAATTTTTACCTGGCATCCTATAAAAAAGTCTTTTACCATTCCCATCATTTGTCTGTAAATATCTACTGTCTGAGGACCAGTCCAGATGAGTGATGAAACTAAGTGATCCAACACATTCTCCAAATTTTTTATAACGCTGAGCAACTCCATAAATATCAACTGAGCTGTCATTGCATCCAACAGCAAGGTAAGTTCCATCTGGTGAATATTTTAACTCATGAATTGCCTCCTTACGATCTTTAATATGTACAACTTCTGTCATATCTCTGTAAAGAAAAAAAAATAAGACCATATTAAAAAAAGTCACTACAGAATTAATTCAGTTTTCAAATGTGTCTAAAATGACTGTGAGGCTTTATCAAGTATTTATAAACCATAAAACAAATGTAAATGAGACAAGTAGCATTAATTCAAGAACAATTTTGTTGACCAAAAATATATGAGGACAATAAATGCGGAAGTTCAGAAAAATGATAAATTTCAGTTCCTAAATTACTTAATTTTAAGTAGTTTAGATTTATACTAAATTTCTGCAGTCATATAATAAATAAAGTCACAGATTTTTATGATGAAGTTTCTTATAAATACTAAGTTTATGAAAAATGCTTAATTATAAACACCATGATTTTCAAATAAATTTTTGTAATGAACCAAATGTATAAAATTACATCTAGGAAATAAATAAAGGAGGAATTGATTTGTATTATTTCAGTAATATGTTCAAATGTATATCTTTATATAGCTACCACTAGTTATTTTTATTTCAATCTCTTTAACCTTTTTAAACAGAACATAAACTTTTCCCAATTAGCAATCATGTCAATCAGTGAAGTTAAACATTTTTTTCAATGATGCCATACAACTGAGTTTCCAAAATAACACAGGTATTGGTAATAGCTATAAAAATGAATAAACGTTTAGTTTAACACCACTGAGTTCCCAAACATGGGGAGATGGTGGAGAGATGGAGAAGAGGGAGGCAGCAAGGGGGAAGGGTCAGGAGGAAGTGAGAATTAGTGACAGGGATTTTTTTCCAAATAAATTTTGTATTACTCATCTGAAATGCTCCCAACAAATAATTTCAAGAACGGAAATTTAAATGGATATTTCCCAATTTTCATAGTTTCTAAAAGGATAATTTAAAGCAATCAAACTCACATTTCTTTCAGTAACACTTATTAAATTCTTAACTTTGTTTTAGGTACATGGGACACAAAAATCAACTTACCTTCTATGAGAGATGGATATAAAGTAATCATACTTTATATTGATAAAGTGTGGTGAATATAAGAAATACTGAAAAAGGGTTAAGACTAAAGGCAGAAAGAAATCAAGGAAGAGTGACACCTATTTTCACCATAAAACCTGAGGGGTTGGCTAATGTAAGAGAGGAGGAAAGGTTTTCCAGAAAGAAGACACAGCATGAGCAATGCAAATACATGGCACATTTGAAGAATAGTAGATAGTATAACATGAATACAAGATAAGTGGGAAAAGTAGTGACTGATGGGGGTTAAAGAGATTAATTGAAGACAGTGTGTGACAGATTTGATATTTTGCCAAGAAGTCTGGGCTTTACCCTGGTCTTAATTATGTAAGAAAGAGATGAAAATTATTTCTCTAACTATAAAAGGGAATCAAAAACAAAACAAAACAAATGAAGGAAAAATGTACTTTTTAAAAATGTTTTCCTGGTCAACATTTCTTTTGCCTTAGACCCTGCAACTTGCAAGGTCCTCTTCCTAAGCACAGACCAATGTAGCTACCTCTACCTTTCCCAGTGACTCCTTCAAGTTTTAATTAAATCCATGCACCTTATTTCCTTTTCTCCATATACATTCATCCACCCACCCATCCACCCATCTATCTATTCATCTATATCTATACGGAGCAAGATTTTTACGAAAATATCTAAGGCACTACTTGATAGCTTTTACTTTTATGCCTTCTTTATTAAAGATATAATCATTCTAATATCAATCACAAATATTAGTAAAGTGCTCGTGGAGAATTCTTCAGAATTACCTTGGTATTCTTCATAGCTTTCTTGTTTTAGAGACTTAACTACTCCCAGTTAACAAGAAAAATAACTGTGGGTATCTCAGGTTGTCTCTTGCTTTCTACCACTGTGCCCCTCCCCTGCCCACCAACAGACAGAGACACAGGCGCACGCACGCACACACACACACACAAGAAACAGTGATGTAAAAAGTGATTCTGATTGACTGACTGGTTTTATATTATGTTATTACATCAACATTAGAAATTGTGCCTATCTTTGCTGATGAAGATGTTTCTTTGACAAATTTACAGGAAAGAAGACTATTATTAGATGAAAATGTATTGATTTCTATAAGTTCTAAATTAAGTCTTCTGGGAAACTGATATGCGAAGTCTATATTTCTTTAAGAAGCAGGGAGAAGCCAAAGCCTGGGAATATCCATACATTAGTTAGCAGTTTGAAACACATCAAGAAGTAAAAATACACAATACTGATAGAGCATGTAACAGAATTGTTCCTAGCTTGAAGGAGTTAGAAGAGACAGACCAAAGGAAGTAGAGTTTAAACTTCATTCTGAGGAATTAATGGGACTTAGCTCAGCAGAAGATAGGAGCTGGGAGGAAAAAGGCCCACATCCAGCAGAGATAACAGTATGTGAAAGAGTTGGTGGCAAGACAAAGTATTCAAGCTTATTTTGAGAAAGTCAGTGTAGTGGTATTCACATAAGCAAAGGAGGCTTTGGTGTGAGCTGAGTCTGATGAGGGAGGCTAAGGTAAAATCATAAACGGCCTCATTGATCATAGGATACTTGGCCTCAATTTGTAAACTTGAGCTAGGGTGGGGTGAATCAATCAGATCACTAATCTGGTTTGACAGTAAAAACAAATTGAAGGACTACAATGACAGCATCAAAACCAGTTAGAAGACTACTACAGACGGTGCTTGCTCAAACTTCAGAAAGAAGTGAAACAATATAAAATATGCAGTATTATATATTATAATCCATACTATTATAGCATATATGTTAAAGATACTATAATTCTAATCTTATTCACCAACCTTAATTAAAATGTTCCTAGAAAATTCACCAGGCAACTAAAATCAACAGGATGTGGTGATGGATTAGAAATGGTGGTTAGAGAGAGCGAAGTATCAATGATAATGCCTAGGTTTTTGGCTTATACAAAATCATGGACAGTGGTGCCATTGAAAGGGCTCTCAGACAGAAGATCAGTTTGGGAGGTGTGATCCTGGGTTCAGCTTTGGAAATGCTGAACTGCAGATGCCTTTGAGATACACAAGTGATGCTAAATAAGCAACTGCATATGCATGGCTGGAGTTTAAACGAGATCAGGGCTAGAGCTATGCATCTGGGATCATCAGGCTATGGGTAGTAACTGAAGCCAGAGGCAGGATGACATTACACAGCAAGAAAATAAAAACAGAGTAAAAATAGCAGAAAGCCTAGATCTGAGTTCTGAGGCACTCCAGTAATTTACTAGGCAGATGATAATTAGTCTATAAGAAAATGGAGCCAAAGAAGTAGGCTGAAAAGAGAAAGAAAATTAACATCCAAAGCCAGGGAAGAGAATGTTTTGAGAAGGAGGAAGTGGTTAAGGGGTCAAATACTAATGAGAATCAATTTAAATGAGAACTGAAAAAAGGTTTCCTGGCTTTAGTCACAGGGTACTATTAATGAGGGTTTTTTTTTAATGTAAAGATGAAGGCAAAAACTATGCTGGAATGGAGGGAGAAAGTTGACAAGTTAACTGGAAGAAAAGAGTAAAACAGGCAGTTTTTTTTTTTTTTGAGAATTTCTCTGTGAAAGAGAAGAGAGTGAAGATGTGATATAACTAAAGATGGACTTAGGTTCGAGGTAGGAATTTTAGGATAAGATGTATTTGACTGTATGTTAATAGTGCTCTTGGTGGGGACAGAGAGATTAAAAAAAACTTTGATATGAAAAGATAATGGACATATACAAATAATTACTTTTTTAAAGCCAGGAAATAACTTTTGGAACTCACTTCTCCCACAAAATGGGGCAGACAAAATTTAAATAGGGTGAAAAAACTTTTAAATGAATTCATGGTTAGTTAGGGAAAAACTGTCGTAATCCCTCTCAAGTTGATGTAACTCAGCAGCTATGCTGTCAGAAAAGACAAACAGCCTGTCCCTTCCCACCCGGCGCCAGACTGGGATTTCAAAATTTGTAGATGCTGACAGGCATATGTAGAATAGATAAACAAGATTATACTGTATAGCACAGGGAATAAATACAAGATCTTGTGGTAGCTCACAGCGAGAAAAAAAATGTGAAAATGAATATATGTATGTTCCTGTATAAATGAAAAATTGTGCTCTACACTGGAACTTGACACAACATTGTAAAATGACTATAACTCAATAAAAAATGTTAAAAAAAAATAAAGAAGCCTAGGGTAAACTGTAAAACAAACAAACAAACAAATAAATAAAATGCTTTTAAAATGGGAAAGAAAAGACAAACAGCTAAGTGACTGTTAGACTCTAAAATGGCAATGTTAATGTTTTTACAACTAAAGTCTACCCCATGCCCTGCAGGGGACCTTACTTGGTTTTCACATGATTTATTAACCATGCTCATCAAGCCCCTCCACTGAAGTCTCCCTACATACTTCTAAGAATGAGTTAGTGTCTCTAAGGCGTTTGACGTTGGTAACACCATGGAGCCTACTATAAGTCAAAGTGTTAATAGGTCCTACTGTACATCACAGGGAACTAAATCCAATAGCTTGTAATAACCTACAATGAAAAATATGAAAAAGAATATATATAAACACATACACTGGAATCACTATGCTGTACATCAGAAACCAACACAACATTGTAAATCAACTACATGTTTATAAAAAAATTAAACAAAAAGAATTAGTATACTAGATTCTAATCCCTGCTATGTTTTTCTAATCATAACATAACCACCCCTGTATGGATACTCTACTACTCCTATACTTATGAATTCTGCTCTATGATATAGAGAATAGACACAGCAAATCAAGAAGAAACAGTGACCAGGTAAATTAAGAAGGATTAAGAGTATTTTTGAGTTAGAGTTTTGTGGTTATACTACAAAGGCATTTAATAGTAACTATTTCAATGGTCCTGTCAGCAATGTTGGACTCAATTGCTAAAATACTATCTATCTTATTAGAGATAAGAATTTATTCACCCAGTTACTTGCAAACAATAATTGAAAGAACAAGTTAAATGTACAAATGAAAAAATAACAATCACTTTTTTTAAGGCACACCAACTATCTGATAGAAATTCTTAGATGTTTTACATGCATCTTAAATTCCTGGTTGTAAAACAATGCAAATGTACTTAATGCCACTAAATTTTATACTTGAAAAGGTTAAAATGGTAAATTTTATATTATGTATACTTTATCACAATAAAAAATTATCTTAAGAGGAAAATCTCACCATATCTCACTATAAAAACCTGTCCAGAAAGAAGACTCATATATGTAGAAGCTCAGAAGTATTAAGAGAATATGATATACTTGAAGAAGCAAAAGATGTTATATACATGTTAAAAGAAAGAGATTGGAGTAGAAAGAAATAGGCTAGAGAGATGGGCAATATAGGCTATGTTAAGAATTGTGAACTTCATCCTAAGGATAGTGCAATACTTTTATCATACTTTAGAAAGAGGAATGATGCAAACAAATGTGTTTTAAAAGGCATCACTATAACTGTAGAGTGAATAAAGGACTTGAGAAAGCAAAATAAGAGATAAAGAGACCAACTGAGATGCTGTTCCAGTGATCCAGTGAGGAGATGACAGAAGCCTATATAATGAGTACAATGTGAGAATGGAAGGAAGTAGATTAATTTGAGAGCTATTTAAGAAGTAGGTTGTCCAGAATTCTATGACTAACTAGACACAAGAGACAAAAGACGCAAATGAATCAGTGGTTTCTGGACTGGGCAACTGGGTGGACAGTCCTATCATTTACTAAGCTAGAGATGAAAGATTTCATAAATATTTATCCTTGTGAACACATGTGGATCTACAGTAAATTTTTAAATGGCTATATAGGATTCAATTGAATGCACCATATCTATCATTCAATAAAAGAATATAACTGCATTAGGAAATTCTTTAAACTCTTCTAACTACCCAAACAAAGGAAGAGGTGTGGGCATTTTTTTCAAAGCATGAAGCTGTAAATAACAACAACAACAAATATTTTTAAGTTTCAAAGTCCCCTTCTCCCCCTTCAATAGGAAAGGATCATTACTGAAAATCAATACTACCAAGAAGTGGAAAACAAGACCCAAATTTAACTCAAAATTTTAGTTATTAATCTACTAAGCATTCTTATTCCCCCACATGAAGGTTTTTTGAGTTAATTTTCTGACAAAGCCATTTTTAGAAATTTTTTTTTTATATTTTGAAACTAACATATGAAAATATATACATTAATAAGAAGGAGGGAAGGAAATGGGTAAAAATAGTAAGTATTACACATTCTATTTCACTTAAAAATTTACTATTTCTATTTCTAACCTAATACATACCTCACTCTAAGTACAGTGAATGAACCATCCTTCATTCCAAGGGCAAGATGGATCCCATCTACATTTACAGCTGCACACGAATTGGTTCTTCCATATTACACCTTGCTATTAGCGCATGATCAACTAGGCTCCATATCCTGTAATATTTAATTAAAATAAAAGAATAGTTAACGAATGTATGCTTAAAAATGATACACTATGAAAAATGCTGGTTAAAATAATCATTTCATTTTAAGGAAGTAAGATAAATCTAGATTTTTAACTGTATGTTTTGTGGCAAAGAAGTCTTATCTATGAAAACAATATACTGTTAATGCTTAAAATGCTATGGGTTGATAGAACCTTTTAGTTTTAAGACATTATGATGACATTAATTTTTTCCAATCACTCTTTTTAGGTAGATGATTTCTAGCCTGACCAAAGGGGAGATACATATATAGTATAGTGGTAGACAGTCTTTTAATTTAATAACACTTAAGATTATGCAAATTTAGAATCTTTTCTATACTGTTAGAAAACTGTAATAAGTACTAAAATGGTATATACATCTATCAAAATTCATCAAATTGTATGTTTGAAATATGTGTAGTGTACTGTACAGGAACCATACCATAATAAATGTGTTAAAAAAAAACTAAAAAATACTCATTGAAAGTAAAGAATTACATTTCCAAATAATATAAAGGACAAAGACAAAATTCTAATGGAAATTAGTAACATTTTGAAGTAAGGTTACAACAAAAGTATTTCAAGTCAAAACTTGTGGGATATAGCTGAAATAGTACTTAGGAGGAAATTTAAATGCAGATATTATCAAAACAAAGGCTACAACTTAATGAACCGGTATCTACCCCAAAAGGTTAGGAAAAGATCAGCAAAACTAAGTATATTTTAAAATGCTTTTTTTATAGCAGTAACTTCTTTTAAAAAAATTTTCTTGCTATTTTATAGGTAAAATGATTTTATATATTATTTTTATATCCAGGAAATTTGCTAAATTCTTTTTAATTCCAATAATTACTCTGTATTTTCCTTTCAGTTTTCTACAGATACCATTATAACACCTGCAAATGACAGTTGTTTCTTCCTCTGCAATCAAAATGTCTCTCTCTATGTATATATCTATAAAAAAAATATAAATACATATATATAATTTGGCTTCACTGTGTTGACAAACACTTCTAGTCTACAGATGAATATAATGGTGAAAAATATAATGGTGAAAGTGAGCATGATTGTCTTCTTCCTAATTTCAAAGGAAAACTTTAAATGTTTCAACATTAAACATGGTATTTCCTGATGATTTTCTAAGCTCTATCACACACTGTGGGCCAAACTGGGCCCACATCTATTTCCGTACAGTCTACAAGTTAAAAATGGGTTCTGTATTTTTTAAGAAATTGAATTATAGCCGATTTACAATATGATATTAGTGTCAGGTATACAGCATAGTGACTCATTTATTTTTTGCAGATTATATTCCATTGTAGGTTATTTCAAGATATTAAATATAATTCCCTGAGCAAAACAGTAAATCTTTGTTGCTTGTCCATTTTAAGTGTAGTGGTTTGTATCTGTTAATCCCATACTACTAACTTGTCCCCCGTTCCCTCTGGTGACCGTCAGTTTGTCATCTATGCCTGTGAGTCACTTCCTATTTTGTATATAGAATCATTTGTATTATTTTTTTTAGATTTCACATATAAATGTTACTATATAGTATTTGTCTTTCTCTGTCTGACTTACTGCACTAAGTATAATATTCTCTAGGTCCATGCCTGTTCTCCAAATGGCAATATTTCATTTTTAATGGTTGAGTAATATTCCATTGTGTGTGTGTATGTGTGTGTGTGTATACACATCTTCTTAAGCCAATCATCTTGTCTTGGCTATCATAAGCAGTGCTGCTGTGACCACTGGAGTGCATGTATCTTTTCAAATTAGAGTTTTTGTTTTTTCCAGATATATATCTAGGAGTGAAATTGCTGGATCACATGGTACCTCCATTTTTAGTTTTTTAAGGACTCTCCACACTGTTTTCCATAGTGGCTGCACCAACTTAAATTTCCTCCTACAGTATAGGAGGGTTCCCTTTTCTCCACACCCTCTCCAGCATTGATTATTTGGAGACTTTTTGATAACAGTCATTCTGACTAGTGTGAGGTGATATCTCATTGTGGTTGATTTGCATTTCTCTAATAATTAGCAATGTTGAGCATCTTTTCATGGGCCTGTTGGCCATCTGTATGTCTTCTTGGGAGAAATGTCTATTTAGGTCTTCTGCCCATTTTATGATTAGGTTGCTTGTTCTTTTGATATTGAGTTGTATGAGCCGTTTGTATATTTTGGATATTAACCCTTTGTCACCACTCTCATTGTTTGCAGTCCACGTGTATCTTTTCTCATTGTTGATGGTTTCCTTTGCTGTGCAAAAACTTTTAAGTTTGATTAGGTGTCACTTGTATATTTTTGCTTTTATTTCTTTTGCCTTGGTAGACTGCCCGGGGAGATCACTGCCATGATTTGTATCAGAGAATTCTTTGCTTATATTCTCTTCTAGGAGTTTTACAGTATTGTGTCTTACATACAGGTCTTTAAACCATTTTGAGTTTATTTTGGTATATGTTGTCAGGGAATATTTTAATTTCACTGATGTTCATGTAGCTGTCCAGCTTTTCCAGCACTACTTGTTGAAGAGACTGTCTTTTCTCCATTGTATATTCTTGTCTCCTTTGTCGTAGATTAATTGACCATAGGTGTGTTGGTTTACTTCTGGGTTTTTTATTCTGTTTTATTGATCTATATGTCTCTTTTTGTGCCATTATCATGCTGTTTTGATTACTGTAGCTTTGTAGTATAGCTGAAGTCTGAAAGGATTATACCTCCAACTTTGTTCTTTTTTGTCAAGATTGCTTTGGCAACTTGGGGTCTTTTGTGGTTTCATATAAATATCAGGATTATTTGTTCTAGTTCTGTGAAAAATGTCCTTGGTATTTTGATAGAGATTGCATTAACTATAGATTGCTTTGGGTACTATGAACATTTTTGACAATATTAATTCTTCCAATCCAAGAGCATGGGATATCTTTCCATTTCTTTGAATCATTTTCAATTTCTTTCATCAATGTTTTATAAGTTTCACTGTATAGGTCTTTCACCTCCTTGGTTAACTTTATTCCTAGATATTTTTTAATGTGATTTTTAAAAGTCACATCAATTTTTTGATCACATCACATTTTTTATGTAATTTTTTTTCATTTAAAAAATTATTATTTTTTAGGTTTTTTTGGGGGGGAGGTAATTAGATTTATTTACTTGTTTAATTTTTTAGAGGAGGTACTGGGGATTGAACCCAGGACCTTGTGCATGCTAAGCATACACTCTAGCACTCTGAGCTATACTCTTTGATATGATTTTAAACAGAACTTTTTTTTAATTTTCTCTTTCTGACATTTCATTATTAGTGTAAAGAAACATATCAGATTTTTGTATATTAATCTTGTATCCTGCTCCCATGATGAATTCATCTGCTTGTTCTAACAGTTTTTGTTTGGAGAGTTCGGGGTTCTCTGTATTTATAGAGTATTATGCCATCTGCAAGTAGTCACAGTTTTACCACTTCCCTTCTAATATGGATATCTTTTATTTCTTTTTCTTGTCTGACTGTTGTGGCTAGGACTTCCAATACTATGTTGAACAGAAGTGGTGAGAGTGGGCATCTTTGTCCTGCTGCTAAATTTAACAGGAAGGCATTTAGCTTTTCACCACTGAGTATTATGTTGGTTGTGGGTTGTCATAAATGGCTTTTATCATGCTGAGATATGTTCCCTGTATACTCACTTTGGTAAGAGTTTTATCATGAATGGATATTGAATTTTTTCAAATGCTTTTTCTGCATCTATTGAGTTGATAATGTGGCTTTCCTCTTTCCTTTTTTTAATGTAGTGTATCATACTGATTAATTTGTGTATGTTGAACCATCCTTGTGACCCTGGAATCCAACTTGATCATGGTAATTAATCCTTTTAATGTATTATTGGATTTGGTTTACTAATATTTTGTTGAGGATTTCTGCATCTATATTCATCAAAGATATTGGCTTGTAATTTTCCTTCTTTCCTTCTTTCTTTCCTCCTTCTCTCTCTTTTTCTCTCTTTCTTTTATTCCTTCTTTCTTTCTTATGTCTTTGTCTGGTCTTCGTATCAGGGTGATGGTTGCCTCATAGAATTAATCTGGGAGTGTTCCCTCATCTTCAATTTTTTGGAATAGTTTGAGAAGGGCAGCAAGTTTTTGTATGTTTGGTAGAATTCCCAATGAAGCTGTCTGGTCCTGGACTTTTGTTTGCAGGAATTTTTTAAAATGACAGATTCTATTTCACTTCTAGTGATTACTCTGTTCAAATGATCTGTTTCTACACATTATTATATATAAAACAGATAAACAACAAGGACCTACTGTATAGCACAGGAAACTGTATTCAATTTCTTATAATAACATATAATAGAGAAGAATCTGAAGAAAAAAAAATATATATGGATACATATAACTGAATCGCTTTGCTGTACACCTGAAATTAACATTGTAAATCAACTACACTTCAATAAAAAATAAATTTTTTTTTTAAAAAACAAAGACAAATTATCTGTTTCTTCATGACTCAATCTTGGCAGACTGAATGTTTCTAGAAACATGTCCATTTCTTCCAGGTTGTCCAATTTGTTGGCATATAACTGTTCATAGTACATGCTTATGATTTTCTTGTATTTCTGTGATACCAGTTGTTATTTCTCCTCTTTCATTTCTTATTTTATTTGGGTCCTCTCTCTTTTCTTCTTGGTGAGCCTGGCTAGAGGTTTGCTGATTTTGTTTATCTTTTCAAAAATCAGCTCTTGGTTTTATTGATCTTTTCTATTGTTTTTTGACCTCTTTTATTTATTTCCTCTCTGGTCTTTATTTCCTTCATTCTGCTGACTTTGGGTTTTGTTTGGTTTTTTTCCTAATTCATTTAGGTGGTAGGTTAGGTTGTTTGAGATTTTTCTTGTTCCCTGAGGAAGGCCTGCATAACTATGAACTTCCCTCCCAGAACTGCTTTTGCTGTATCCCAAAGATTTTGTAAAGTTGCATTTTCATTCTGTTT